AGTAGTAGTAGTAGTAGTAGTAGTAGTAGTAGTAGTAGTAGTAGTAGTAGTAGTAGTAGTAGTAGTGGTAGTAGTAGTAGTAGTAGTAGTAGTAGTAGTAGTATTAATAGTAGTAGTAGTAGTAGTAGTAGTAGTAGTAGTAGTAGTAGTAACAGTAGAATAATAATAATAATAAATAATAAATGACTTTATTTAAGAGTCGATAACACTTTGAGTACAAGACTCTTCTAACAAGTGGTCGACAGTAAAATGTACAATATATACAACATTAAGATTACAGCATCACATAGGATATAAAAATCACAAATATCACAGTAAACTAGCATAATCATGAAGGACTAAGATGTACATCAATAAAACAAATGTAATGATAGTGAAGAGGTATATAAACGGTTATAGAGTGATTAATAATAAAATAAAAGGACTAAATTAGCGAGGTTTGATAAGGGATAAAGGACTGATAATTAAAACAATGAATTGGCAACATTCATAAAGGTACCATATTATCTTAGGGCTAAAATAAGGTAAGGTTCCACATTGTCTGATATTTTCTGGAAGCTGATTCCACAATGTTTGTCCAGTATATAGGAAGGAATTTCTAATCTTTTCAGTTTTGTGTTTAGGTATGATATAGTTACCAGCAGTAGATGCCCTAGTTTGTCTACTGTGTACACTGGACACAATCACATTACAGTCCAAGTAGTTTGGACACAGTTTGCTAGCTACTTTATACATTAGTATACATTCGTTGTAGTTCACTCTTTTGCTTAAAGGTAACCATTTGAGTTTGGTGAATAGTTCATCCCCTGATACAGAGTAGTCAGCATCCATAATTATACGTAAAACTCTTTTCTGTAATCTATCTAGTTTTTTAATATATGTCTGAGAACAATGTCCCCAAATATTTGAACAATAATATAGGAAAGGTAAAATAGGTGATTCTTGATGAAACAGGTAAGAACTTTTTAATTCTGCATAACTGATATATTTTGAAATTGACCTTTTTTATGACATCCTGGACATGTTTGTTCCAAGTAAGGGTATCATCAATACACACACCTAGGAGTTTTTCATGTTTAACATTTTCCAATGTAAGATCACCAGAATCAGTACATTCAATACAGTAGTAGTCAATTCGTCAATTTTTGTCATCCTTCTTCAATTGATGATAATGTATTTTTGCCAACGTTCAAGTTCTAATCTTCTTATTGTGTTTTGGAATAGTTTGTGTTTGATCTCTATTGAAACATGAAGGCATATACGCTCTTTTGGGAGGTATTTCTCCTTTTTGTAGCAATGTTCCTTAATTTCATTCCTCATTAGTTTCCATAGTATCCGATCTCACTCGCGTAAACCCGTTTGGTCGTTTGGTATTCATGTCATATCCGAATCCGAGTATAGCAGTGATGGAATCCATTACGTTTGTGATCCTGTCTGAGTAGTAAAAGAGCGATGCTGGTCTCTTTTCCCTGCTGATAGACCTCCATTGGCATGCAAACTGAAAAAAACCCTAATAAACCAAAAACAAATAATCTGACAAAGTGTAGTGTTCAAATACGTTATAATTCTCGTCTCATGTTTTAAATAAAAAACATTTTTTTCCAACAAACAAAAAGCAGTAATTGTCAAAGCATAACATTTCTTGTCGGAAAAAAACCCTGAAGACTTGTTGGGCCAAATTTTCTATCAATTGTTTGAAATTATGATTATAGAAGAAAGAACTCCATGACTGTTCATAAAGCAGTAGATTGCTGTCACGTTTTTACCGTACGCATCTGAATAATATCTAGTTAGTTTGCAGTCGATTTGATTTAGTAATACATTTAAAATCAAAGTACTGAAAGTACTGAGAGGCTAAACGTATTGAAAAATGTTCACAAATAACCGCTAAGATATATTACTTTCCCCATACTCCTACACTTTGGAATGCAAAAATGACTAAAATAAGAGAACCAGAGGCTATTTTTCTTAATTTTATATCTTCTTTAATTCTTATTTCAAATTTGACGACAATAATGTGAATAAATCAAAATAGGTAAAAAAATAACAAAATACACACAACCATATATTTATCGCCAACAAGCCAAATGATAAATAGCTGTATGATGAAGTTGACTAAATAAAACCTTTGAAATACCCAGTATGTTGTAATTACTATCCTACCAACATGAGGATTTAAACAAATCGAAAGGACTTCATACCTACTTCTTTATTTTGAATGTATTGCAAAGTAATAGTCCTTACTTATTATAATTATATTTGTAGTTGAGGAAAGTAGATAAGGTATACACAGCATTTCAGTAATTACATTAAATGTATTTACATGCCTATCTTCCTTGAAGTATCATGGTAAGACTTTTCTTCCATTAATTATGTATATAAAGGCATAGTTCTATGAGATTAAACCAGACTTCCATATGTATACAAAATTTACAATATTTTTCACTATAGCTACTACTATTTCTGATCTCCAATGGATTAGATAATGTCACCATGACACACTAAATGAATAAATATGTTATGGAAATATTTCGTTTTAGTTAATTGATAATTATAAACATGAATATTTTGGGTTTTTTTTTATACGCGCTTTGTTTGAAGGAATATTTTCATTTCAAGGAACTTTGATACACATTAACAAACATTGAGAAATCAGCACAATCAACCTTCATCAAATAAAACTAAAAGACAAAAAATATAAAAGTTATAACAAAGTCAACATCATGATCAGTACAGTATTAAAAATATATCATTCATAAATCATGAGCACCAAATGTATATTGCCTTCAAAGCGCAAGCTTTTTATCTTCAAAAACTTGAAAAAGTGTCATTGCGGTGGATGTGAAAATCCTGAAAAAGTGTCATATCGGCGGATGTGCGCGTAGGACGAACAGTCCAATTTTGTGACGTCTAATGAGGTAAAGTGATGTTATATATTAAGATTATCTTGCCACAACGACAAGGATTAAAGCAAAATTGATGTTCTGTTTGTAAGTTTTATTTGTTTATAAGTGCTGTTAGTTGATAATTCAAACCAAGCCCCCAGACTAGCTTCTTATCATGGCGCCAACTCGCACGTACAGTGTTCTGTACGCTTACGTCATGTCGAGAATTCTGTAAAATATATTGTTCAAAATTTATCAATAGTTCAACCACACTGTGCTTCTTTTTTGAAATATATAGTAATCGTATTGTTGTTGGATGCTTTTAAAATAGCGATTTGAAAAATCGCGGCATTATTTACGCAGAAGATTTCCACTAGAGGGCTCTAACTCTTTTCGATATTTCAGCCAATGAGAAGGCCAGGATCGGTAAATTTTGTCTGAAAGGCCGTCGCAATAGGCTATGCGTACTGAGTATGTTTAGCCTAAAAACAATTAATTTAATTCGCGTCTTTTGGAATAAATCAAATCCATGGACAAATATTTATGAATGAAATTCATATTGATACACGTTTAGATAGACATTATTTGTAATTGTCCTACTGTCATAACCTACAATGCTTAAAACAAACGAGAATGGTATATAAGCGTTAATAGGTGGATTCATTTTTGTCTGAAGAATATTTTAGAAATTACCAAAGTATGTATGTCTTTATGATAATAGCGCCCAACACCCACGAATCTAGAACAGAAAATTAACTTTCGGAATACGTTGGAGGTTACTTGTGTAGATATATGCAGTTGATATCAAGATTCCAGAACACGGTATATTTCATACGTTTGTGTTGAAGTTAGAATTTTACACATGTTACTCCTTCTGCATTAGAAATGGAAAAATAAGTTTTATATTACAATTAGCATATATTTACATCAAATGCAAAATAATAAGAATAAAATATTCCATTATATATAACACAGAAATGAGACACGGAATAGAAACCACTACCACTGTATTACCGGTAGTCTTACGGCGCAGTAATAACGCATTCGCCTTTCACCTAACCAACCAGGGTTCGAGTCCCCCATCAGACGTTAATGGGGCTACCTGCTCGAGCACGCTGGTTACCTCCCACAGTAAGAAACCTACTAACTTGTTTCGCAAGTTTTGTACAGCTTTATTATTAAATAAATATAATTAATTGTTTTAAAACTTTCCTGAAAAAAACTGGATCAAGCAAAATACACCTGCTTGAGAATGAGTTTCACGAAGGTGTTTTAAGCAATATTCTTTTCAAACGCAATAAGCAGATCTCCAGTCCTGTCCAAGCAGAAATAATACGTCCTTTACCATTCCCAATAACAATGGAAATTGCGTATGAAATGAAAAAAAAACTTAGCGATATTGTTTCATTCATTTTTATTTTTAATGACATTTTGTTTTATTAATAGTTCCGGAAGATCGTGTTGATCTAAATTTATAAAGACCAATCAATGATAAAGCCGCGCGACAAACCTACGGAGTCTCGTAAAGATACATGCACAATCCCTTTATTCCACAGCGGCTATTTAAACACGCAGTGATTAGTCAGTTTCTCCGAACGAAACGTGATTTATCTAATGAATATTTGGCGTATTTCAAAATGTAAATTAGACTATTTTTTTTCTTAGTAAACGAAGAGTTAAAAGGCTTTGAGAAATCGATCGACATATCGATTTTAAATTTCTTATTAACATCAATACCGTGGCGGTATCGTTCAGATGTGGCGTCAACAAGACATGCTTTCTTTATGTCGTAGAAGGTTATGTGGACTAAGAGCAACACACGAAAATACTATCAGAATTCTCAACGTAACAAATTCATTACCAGCGTGGCGTGTGATGGGCTGGGATGGATAAGGCTCGGTAAATGAGGAAACGAGATAGCAGCCAAATGTAGATAATCCCCTAATCCGCAAATCTCCAATGACAAGTGTCTTTTGTGGGAGGTTCAAAGAAAAAGATCCGTATATAATTCCAGAATTTCTTTACCAGTTTTGTAAATCATGAAAGTGAATTAGAACGACCAGTTGAAAGAAAAGTCACCACGAAAGACGAACGCAATTTTTGGGAAAGGAAAACATGGCCTTTATGAATGTAAGTACTTCTTTTCTTTAATGTAAACATTTAAAACATTTACACATGGTTTTATTGCTCTCTTATAAATTCATTTAATTGCATAAAAAGATAAAAGATGTCTTAAATACATGTATATTCCTTTAATTCTCTTAGTAAAGCACGGCTCACGAAAGTAGATGAACTATATTTTAACGAAACCTAGTCATTATGAAAGTTTTATACATATTTTCGTTAAACAAATATGCAATTTTTATGCAACATGATTAAGCTATAATCAAAATAAATCTGAATACACCTTAGATTTACTGTATTTTGTAAAACACATCTGTTTTATCTGACTTACACTCTGTCCGTACATCAAATTCTCTGACCTCGACACTAAACAACGTCACATTGCCTTAAAACATACATATGATTTATATAAAAATGAGGTTTTATTAAATTATTTGAGGATAATGGACATTTTCTTCAAGAAAGTAGGTGATTAAAACAACAAATTACTGGTCAGTTATGTACCTTTAAATTGATGCAAATTTCTCAAAAATAAAATTGTTTTTAAGCAATATGTATTTATTCGTTCGAGGGCTTTTGAAATAACCATGATATCGAAAGTAATATGAACGCATATTAAGTACATTTCAATTATTTCCACGTCGTTGATTTTACAATTAATAAACAAGCATAATACCGCTTTCATTTAAATGACACTTTAATCTTCCGCCGTTTGGCACGAGTTTAAAATTTATAACAATCATTAAATCTTTTATTCAAATTCAGTATTTGGCTCAATCTGTTCTAATTCTAAGTTTTTTTGAAAGGTGTTGATCATCTGTGTGTCTTTTGTAAATTTAATGAATATTGAAATTAAAACATGTATCTTACTCTTAAGGATGTATTCCTCTCATAAGGAAAAAAAATACAGTATTAAACTTTTTCGCTGCTGATGGTTTTTTGAAAGGTTTGATTTTAGAGAGTAGAAAAAAAATTATAATAATACCGAAATGTAAAAAAATAATGTGTTGCTACACTACTTTTTTCGGTACGTCAGAATATGTGTACCACATATTATTCTTATATTCTCTCCTGATATTCTCTGTTGTTTTTCGGTACGTCAGAATATGTGTACCACATATTATTCTTATATTCTCTCCTGATATTCTCTGTTGTTTTTCGGTACAAGCGTCAGAATATGTGTACCACATATTATTCTTATATTCTCTCCTGATATTATCTGTTGTTTTTCGGTACAAGCGTCAGAATATGTGTACCACATATTATTCTTATATTCTCTCCTGATATTATCTGTTGTTTTTCGGTACGTCAGAATATGTGTACCACATATTATTCTTATATTCTCTCCTGATATTCTCTGTTGTTTTCGTGACAATCTTATTTGAAATAGATCTTAGTGTTTCATAACACAGTAAGAGTATAATGATGTGAAAATGCTAAGTTTTTAATTGATTTAACGAACTTTAAGCTGCATAGCAACCAAAAAAATGAAAATGTTCCAAAATGACAAAAGTCCCTTATCTTACCGTCTTCTAGTACTAAACATTTTTATGACTTTAAGTTTTGATGGGAATAATCGAGGACACTTTTCATGATTGAAAAAGGGGTCCTGTGTTTTTTTCTGTAATTTTCACCTAAACAGCCAGTTTTGCCAAGATCAAGAAATCAGCTGAAACATTTATAACCGGCTCCTGAAAATCCGGCAAAGTGGTCAACAAGTCGAAATTCACGAATTTGAAGTGTATGATTTGTGGTGATAATCCATGACTTCAAGAGTTATACTCAAGAGAAGTTCCTTATCAACCAGAAAACGTTGAAATTGTTGACGTTATTGACCGAATCACGCCGCCAAAAATGTCGTCCACGAGCAAAATTACTTCCAAAACGTGATATACTTCGCCTGTTTCCTACTTATAAGTACAACTTATAGATGACAAAGTATGTAAAAAAGATAAAGGATATTATGTTTGAATTCATGTGATATTGAATCTTATTTCATGTCAAAACATCAGAGAAGTATATCCATAAAAAGTCGTGTGGTTTAATTTTTTTCCCTTAAAATGGTTTGTTGCCGAAAACACTTACCCTATCATAGCATTTGTGTTCACCTGCATTGGTGTAATTCCTGGTCCTTTTCATTCATGCTGTCTGATATTGATTCCGTTTCACGAAACTTATCTAATGGTGATATTTCTTTATAACGACATATTTGATCCATGCAAACGAATTATATAATTATGTTGACAATATAAAAATGACAAGGTTTACTGATTATGAATATATCACAGTACACTCACACTAGAAGTTCTGTAAGCATTACTTAACTTCATTTGAACTTTGAACGCGTCTTCACTAGTGATGGGTTTGTATAAACAGTGTGTCACGGATTTTATCATCAGAAGGTTAATGATTCTTATATACAATAGAAAATAATATTAATTTCGTTCTTATTCTACACCCATCTGATGAGTACGTGTTACCGTGGAATATGAAGATGCACGTGTACATTTTGTGCATGCTTGTCCTTATAGTTGTATACACCTATTGTATATTTGTAAATGCGTGTATCATATTTTCGTATATACATACATGTATATATATATATATATATATCACTATAAATACTATTAATAATGATCATTTGAAAATACATAACTGGACAAGTGAGTCGCTAGTTAAATACAACCCAGACAAAGCAGACTCTTTATTAATAAGCAGAAAAACTAACACAGATCCTATAACAATAAACAACATCACCGTACCCGCTATTAGTTCCCATAAACATTTAGAAGTTATCAGATGCTGGTACATGGAATACCCATGTTGATTATATATTGAAAAAAGTGTCAAAAAGACTAGCTTTATCAAGAAGTCTAAAATAACTATTGATAGAAATTCTCTTCAAGCAATGTTTCATATTTTTATGCCTACACTAGAATATTCTGATATTTTCTGGGATAATTTACCAAACTACTTGTGTCAAAATTTTGAAAATATCCGGATTGAAGCTACGAAAATTGCAACGAGTGTTACAAAATTGTCAAGTATTAGTTTTCACAATAACGAAGTCAGCTGGGAAAAATGATCATAAATCTTACAGTGTTTTAAGATATATCACAAGAAAACACTATTGCACTTGTCCAATTTAGTCCCGGAAAACTTATCCCATTTTCATAGACATTTCACAAGACACTCAAAAATAATGTACTTGCAATTAATTGTAGAACTCAGTTTTATAAAGATTCCTTTAAAATTTCAAAATACATCTAGTAATAAGATCTATATCTAGATTCATTTGGGAGCTTTTTAGTCAAATCTACTGCTAATGTTGTTTGCATTTTTTTTATGTTTTTGTAGGCTGAAATATCTCGTTGGCTGTGCACATGCGCAATAGTCATCACCATGTTCATGGCTTTGGGACAGTGCGAAGCAGGTATTCTCGGCAAATCAGACGAGTCAGAAATCAAATTTCGATCTACAGACATTGAAAACAGAGAGGGTGGATTTATGCAGGAATCAGATTTCAAACGAGGATTTTGGGACAAACGTGGGTATGGAGACAAAAGAGGATATGGTGACAAGCGTGAAAGTGATGCACCGGAAGCTGGATTCACCGGACTTGTTTCCTATTTTAGAAGAATACTTCCGCTTGTATTGGACACTTACGCAGAAAATGTTGCAATGACAAAAGGCAATAAAGTGCAACAACTTGAATATAAGCGAGGCTTCTGGGATAAGCGGGGGTATGGCGACAAACGATCTTGGCCTTTCAATCCCCGTTTCCATGACAGATTCGGAAAACATTAGTTTTGAAAAATATTGGCTGGTTGGAATTTCAAAACAAACAGATAATAAATGTGCTTGAAAATGGTAAACATTGTTTTTGTATCTAACATTTAATCTCCAATGTTGTGTTACAAGCATTTTCTCTCAAGTTGATGAAATATTGGCTATGTTGAAGCAAGGAAAAAAGTAAACTTTATCACATTATGAAAAATTATAGAATTGAAATAACAGATATGTTTTCTTAAATATCTGTCAACCGTTGAAAATATGGACAACTAACCAGAACCTATGTCATGATACAGTCAAATATGAAATAAAGAAATATAACTTGCTGATCCAACAATATGCGATAAAGTTTCGTATTCGTATTTCTCACATGAATCTTTTGCTGATGATACCACTATAATTCAAAACGTTGGGTTACAGTGTATTTTCTAGACTTTTCTGATGGCAATAAGAATACTTGACTGATACCAGAAATTTCATATGTCACTTAGATATCGAAATATCATTTTCATTGGGCATACATATCATTCATTCCTCGAAAAAGACAGGTAGAGCGAACATCTAGAGATTCAAGTCAAATCACATTGTAAAAACTGATTTTCCACATAACATCCCCATCTTGATAGCCCATTTGCGTCATGCCAGCCATGAATCTTACCGAAAGTCAACAATTAAGATGTCCAATAATTTAATTCCACAAAGTAAAACATTTGTATTGTTCATAATTATATTTTTTGCTGAAATGTTGTTTGATAAAGTACAACAAAATGAGGAACTAATTTTTACAAAACTGTTACCAAGTTTTTAAATTCTAAGATTTAATTGTCTATTTTGATCAGTTATTTGATACTGCAGCATGCAATCATTTTTATCTCGCAACTGATTTGACCCAAACTTTTCAATATAAGGGAAATAATTCGTGTTTGCTTGAAACAAAATTCACATAATTCATCACAAAGGTGTTTGAAATCATAAGTCCTGAATCATGTCTGATAGTCATTGATTATATGAATTTCAAAATCCCGAAGGTAGACCAGATAGTGCAGTGTAACAGAATACATTTAGGTCAATGTTAAAAAACCCTACCTGTCTTGACAGGTAGGACTGAGGTGCATACTTCAATCGATTTTTGTTGAAGAAAGAAGTTAATTTAATTGTACAGAAGCAATTTACCACTATCGATATACATTTATATATTGGTTTCCTATCACCTTCACGACGACAATTCACTTTAACGAGGTATCTCCACTACAACAAGCAGTTAAAGTTCACAGTTAGAATTTATTCATTATTCTGCAAATAATGTATCTGATACTGAAATTTGAGCTATTCTTCTGCGTGTCTCTTGCCTTTTGGAATGGGTTTTTTTTGGTGGCAAGTTCAGCCTTTTTCACGTATACACATGTACCTGACGTTCATAAAATTGATAAGAAATACAGAAATGACAAAATGTATTGTATTGGGTCTGTTACACCTCCCCATTTAGAATGGGACTTTGCGTTCAATCACTTCTGGTTTTTCTCAGTCGCCTCTTAGGCTTCAACATATTTAGGTCTTTCTTAACACTGGGGAATCCTAAATGGACGAAACATTCCACAAAACAGTCAAACATATGCCGAATTCTATAAAACTATGATATAACGCATTCTTGTCCACAAAACATTTTTACCACGAGGTCTGGATGAGAAATAAATGTCAGAAAAAGTACAGCAGGGTGATATACTGGAAACAGGTGATTCAGAAAAATAAATAAATAAATAAAAAAACAAATTGTCGATCGCAGATTCCAAGAACAGTACATAGAAATTTTTATGTAAGACTACATTTCAAGCTTTCGGTTGAGAATAGTCCTTATGTTATTTACAGCTGTCATGGACCACATTGTAGTTAACTCAATCCGTTTCTCAATAACATTTAAATGAGGATACTGAGATACAGTTACAACTCTGCATAATGGCAAGAACATGTGTTATCTGGGATAATTGTCTGTACCCTGGATTGTTGATATGTAATTTCTCGACCATGAATGAATATCGTTTGTTCTTTCACCAAAATTTCCTATAAGTAGCGATCTATGTGAACATTTATGATGATAATTGTATCTTTCACGTATACCGATCTGTTTATATATACGGATGAAAGACAGGACGCATTATCCTTGAAATAAAAAAAAGCAAATAAATACTTTTATATGTTTTTTAATAGTCCTGCACATTTTGTGATCAAATAAAATATGTGCTTCTTTTTAGATTTTATATATACTGTACAAGATATAGTATACACTTCATTTCATAGTTATCATTAAGATCAAAAACTTTATTTTCGGTGATGCTTTGTGTTTAAGCAGTCTATTACTGACCAAATTGATTGTCTTTTCAACTCACTTTGGTTTGATCTATTATTTGATTTTCAACAAACAATTTTAACAAACGAAACGTTATCATGCGTATCTTCTCCTAAAATGATTATTGATTACAATAGCAAAAATGATAAAGAAACGAAAGGAATATATTTTCTAAATACTTTGTTTATTTGATCGACAACATATTGTATAATGTAACATTTTTATTAAGAAGAAATATATATCAGTGACATATATTATCAACAAATTTATTTTAATAGAAATGAAGAGTGACATTTCTCACAGATCCTTTAAGTCTTGTATGAATATTAGCCAAGATTCATTAAAAAAATAACTAATTGATATATCATAAACAGAGTGACACAGCTGACGTTGATATTCCTTCTTAAGAATTCAGTTAGTTGCAAATATCCATTAGTTTGAATTAATCATAGCTTGTTGCCAATAAACAGAAGAATTGGATACAAGTTACATCAATAATATCAATACCCTTTCCTAAAGCTATTATAAAATAGTTTGCAACTCCATGAAATATAGTACTTCCGATTATATTGCAGTTCCATTTCCAACAATGAGGAAAAGATGACATAGACATGTAATCAATCCCAGCAAGTATTCATATCTACCATTCGTTTTATAGTCGAAGGGGAATAACTCTGCGAATCAAAATTATCAAAGTCATCAGTTGATAAATTTTGTCGCAAAGTAAACTTTTGCAGCAATATGGCAGTGTTGTGGGAATATATAATTTATAATTTTTGAAATAAATTATCAAAATATAAGTCACATGTTAAATAAAAACAAAATTAAGATGCTAAAAGAACGAAGATAAATAGCTATATATGTTATCATTATTTATAATTAGATCTCCAGATATTTGAAAACATATCGAGTTATACGACTCTAAAGTTTGACGTCATATGCAATGCATATTTGTTACCTAGCAGCAACAACTACTTTTCACATGGACTGAACAACATTGTAACTTATCGTGCTCATCCGGAAGATCACGTGACATTATCCGGAAAATAACAAGTGTATAACGGAAAAGAACGAATATATTGAATTATCGATTACTAAAAAAGATGACAAGAAGGAATGAATTATTATCATGAGTTTGGATACAATATCACCCAACAAGTGTCCTTAGATGTCACACGAAATTTTGAATTATCGTCAATATTTGTTTTGCTTGACCTTGACAAATGTCCATTGTCTATCCTCGGAAAGTTTTGATCCTGACAATGACGTTGATAAATCGTTTAAAGTCCAGTTCTCTATTCTCGTTTGTTCCTTTCTTGAGGAATTGTTCTAATTCCGTGTCATTGAGTATACGGCCAGACATGGTCTTGACTTGCTTCATTTCGTCAAATGTGCGTTCCATGTCTACAGTTCCGCTAGAATCATCCTTTTGAACTTTGTAGAAGAGTTCGATGACATCATTTAAACTGACGAAAAGAAAACAGAAAACATTTTAAAACAAGGAAGATACCACTGATAAAAATGTATGAAAACATAAAAGAAAACGTCAATCTTATATAGAAACTAAGTAATGCACAGAATCATATACTCTCTAACCCATAATAAACGAAACCTGATCAATCTTTGAGAACAAATTTACACGATAAACATTGAGAATACACCAGTTGGATTTGACAAGTTTTCCTGTCCTGAGATCCCCATTTGGTTCAGTGAGTTTTCCTATATCGACTGACATTATTTATATAATTCTAGAATCTCCAAAATTGTTTTGCTGAGAACAATCGTTTCCGGCGGCTAGATAATCAAGGATCAAAATAATTTTCCAGAGTAAACTTGAACTTGTATCCAGGAGACATTAAACGAAATATTAAGAGCGTTAATTTATATCTACATTATTGAAAAAACCTCCTGAACAACGTATCAAGCAAATACAATAACAGAAAAAGAAACTACACAAGTATGAAGTCGATTCTTTTTAAACCAGTCTCTTTTGAAAATTAACCATTGCATTTTGGCGTTAGTACATCTCCCGATCTAGTATTTCATTTATTTTGCTTCCTAGGCTTCAGTAGTAGACCCTAAGCATTGATGACGTTTTCGAGAAGGAGGAAACCGATGTATGATACAGCTTTTGAATGGAAGAGGTTGGTATATTACATCTATATGCTTTGATATAGCGTAGACATGACTGTGAATGAAATAAAAACAATAGAAAAATAATCTACAATATTGCTTGCACATGAATTTACCTATTGCCAAGCGAAGAATAAAACTGTTGATATTCCCAAATGCTGAGTTCTCCGTTCTTGTCAATATCGAATATATCAAACATCACACCGGCATGCTCATCTGAAAGCTTGTAGTCATTGACAAACATTTTCACAGCTTCTGGTTTCTTTAACCTCCTCACGAAGTTGTGCGTGTATTTATCAAATACTGCCTGTGCTTCTTTCCTGCAACGAAAGGTGACTTTGTAATTTTGGATATAAGCGACATCACTATGACAGAAATGAAGTACCATACTCAAAGAAAACCGTAAAATATTTATTATGACAATGATTTAGCTATTTTTCTTAATGACAATAAAATTTTTAAAGAATAATAAATGTGCTTAAAACCATGGTAAACAGCCGGATGAATAGCATTATATCAGCAAATATATCTTAAAATGTCTTATTGGGAAATGGTGTCAAGACCTCATTTCTAATGTGGTGTTTTATATTGAAGAATGATGCATATTTAAGGAATTCGACTAATGAAATGTTTCGGTAGGTTATGTATGACAAAACGCAACTGTATGCTATAGTTATGAATGAATTAAATTATAGTAAATGAAAGAAATTAATCGAACGTGCAAGACGACAAAATCATTAATAGATTAAAATGTTCAAGAATTCATTCTTCACAAAACAATAACTATATAGTTACTATATATAGCGATTGTATTGTTATCTGATCACCATTTTAAAGCTGACAATACTTTCGCATTCAACAGCTGGGAATGTTGATGGTAGGAGATAATGGGTACATTCCTTTTCTACTTGACAGTGACTAGATATCACAGGGTCAGCATCACATTACACAGGTAATTATTATAATGAGGGAACACCTGATCCTCCCTGGTATCAAGTTACCTTAACTCACATACCTACAGATATATGTATCGGGGATATTTTTTTCTGTGTGACTATCAACTGTGTTTTACACAAAGGAGGATACTCTTACAGCTGATATTCCTGATATTCCTTTTCGCTTTATATCATTTTCTTTTGATCTATATTCATATATACGGATTCGTGTTGCTTTATAAACGTTTGTTTATGCAGATGTGCAGCAATAAAGATTTTTTTAGCATAAGGTCACTTTACTTTGCATTGAATATGTTTAATTTCAAATATGTCTTTTATACTATATTTTATTAAACGTAATAAACGACAGGAAGCCTTTAATATATACTTTGTATAATTTATTAACTGCTACCATAGATTAGAGAAAGATCAATGACATTAGGAATACATAGCCATCGTATAGCTACGGGGGATCCAATGATTTATAGTCTCATTCAAATATGTACCATCAGAAAACTCAGCAACTGAGATATAATGTCCTTTTTATGGTATCAAAGAGAGCAAATAACATGTATACAGTTAATTCGGGTTATCCAGATATCTGATTTATTAACATCTTTTCATAAAATTCAACATTACTCCTCCGAGGCATCTTTCTGCTTAACATATGGCTCAAATAATTTATATTTAAATCTATTTTTCAATGAATATTGCATTGAACATTGTACATATCTTTCATTCATTACAACGAATGGTAATAAATCTTTATCTGTCGGTCACGACATTTCGTAACAATAGAACTGACATTTGAATTTTCATATTCCAACTATTTTTCCCATGTTTAATTATTGAATTTTGGGTTTATTGTATCTACTCATCTAGATATTCAAATTTCTGGTGATTAGTTATGCTTTTCATCCTTTCTTAATATTTCAAAGTTTAGGCCCCTAACTTAACCTCAATGACGAATACAGAAACTGTTGCGTAAGGTTTGAAATCTATATGAGAAAATGCCGTGTTTCCAAATCTCCAAGTTCCAGAAAAGTGCATTTTACTAATTACAATCTTTAACACACTAATACATTTAAACCCTATATCTCCAGTTGATCTCTAAATTGGACAAGGGGAATTTGAAAATATGACCAAATTAGCAAATTTGATCTCAAATTTAAGGAGTATTTCTCCTTCAACTGTATGAATGGCAAATATAATGTTGATGCATCACGTCAAGTAGTATAAATATTTATACATAAGCAGCAGTAACCCCACTTTAGGATTGCACATTCATTAGTCATTAAGCTTGTACATTACTGTTGGTTTATCATCTTCTCCCATGTCGCAACAGTGCAAATATTATTACTGGTATGACAGTGATGCATTTGTTTGTATGTTATGAAATTGACGTAAGAGACATGCCTAATTTTGCCACAAATAAAAGGATCCTAGACACACAACAAATCAAATGTATTATTATCTACAAAAAGTTTCAGGTGACTGTAAAAGTTAAGTCATATAAGAAAGTCTGCCATTATATATAAGCGCTGTAGTACTTTTTTATGCTTATATGTTGAAAATGAAATATGTTTTAACTTGTGCATTAGTACTGTAATATACGTTGGTTTTGTTCGCGAGTCAAGTAATCTGTAAATTTAATCATTGTGTAATGACAATGTACTCGCAAACTCACAAAGTATTTTTCTACTTGACCCCGTGTTATTTATCTGTGTGTGCTATTCTTGATGGTTTTCTATTTACAATAATGTGCAATATGAAATAAGATATGTTAGATGTACGCCATTATGCTTGGTGGCTTATTTGTCCTTGACAATGTTCTCATATTTGAAAACATGAATTTAATTTCATTGACCTGACGGATGTCATCAATGACACAAAAGATACTTATCTTTGTGGAACACTTGGTCTCCTTGTAGGTTTTCTTTTCTTAATAATAGGCTTTATAATAACATTCCTAATTTCATGAGAATTTAAGAACCTGTTTAGTCATGGCTTATCCTCTTGGAAGTAAAACATGGTATATGTTAAAAAACATGATTTTTCACTACATAATTATAAAATTCGTAGATCTTTATATACACACACTTTTTTATATTCATTATTTACTTTGAAAATAAGACATAAGGCGGTCTCGAAAATAACCCATGAAATCAAAACTGAGGAAAAGAAATTAACTCCTGAATACTTCCTAGATTTTAGGACACGTTAAAAGCATGTGTTGACGGTGTGATACATTTTATCATTTGTGTTGACAATGACATAATCGTCCCCCAAATTTTTATATGTATAGCTGCATATCAATTTTCTGTAAACTGATATTATAATCGTTCATATGTATATGCATTTAAGGGTGACAGTTATTGTTAACATGATAAAAAACAAGATTCCAAGTAATTCACATTTTAATTTATACGCTCCCGTAAACAAGTGAAAAAGAATTCCGTGGGATGTATTTTTTCATTGTGCAATATTGCATCTGACAAAATATGGTGTGTCATAACTACTTAACACTCCTTATAAATTCTTTGGTTAAAATAACACTACGTGCTTTGAATGAAGGACCGTTTTACTTGTCGTAAATGGATAAGGCTCTCTATTATATATGGTTTTTAATACTTTCCTCCAAAGCAACTTAAACCATGGCACGTTAACATGACACAGACTAATTAGATCCGGCAAGGCATAACATTGAAGTAAAACATTTATATCTTTATATATTTTCAATTCAAATTCTCTTAATTTAAGTGTTCAAAGCCATGGCCAAGCACAGGTGAGTATAATTCGCAAGAAATTACATCGAAGAGAATTGCAAGTGAAACATAAATCTATCATTTGCAAACAATGATTAATTTTTGCGTTATCATACTTTATGATGGCGATTGTCACATTTGTTTGGCATGTTTATCCATATTTATATATCCTAGTTTTTTAAATGGCGTTATTGTCTCAATGGAGTTTTAAATGATTCCGTCTTTTCTGAAGGAAATTGATATTGATATCTTCGATAACTATTCGAGTCAAAAGCAGTCGCGACATTTAACTCGTAGCGATCCAATACAATGGTTGTTACTTAGATTTCTATTTGACATTCATCATGACAAACGTATTCATAAGTATAAAGCTGTTGCTGTCAGAGGTTTTCAAACACGTGCAGGAACAAACCTATGCATGTTATATGATATTCAGATTGATGTATTTATTATGAAACCCATACCGTATGTTTTGTTTTATATTGTAATAAAATTGTCTTGACAAATTCATGTAACAAATGTGTTGCAGTAACATTGATATATTAAGTGCTATAATAACTAGATGACATCCTGGTCACGACACCATGTGTTCGAGAAACATCAATTAAAAATCTTTGAGGGCAAAGGTAGACCCTGATCTGAATAAGGTATTATAAACGAGAAGGAAATGCTTAAATTGATGTTAATGATTATTGCGTCATTTGTATCCACATATTGATTTGAAGAACCTGTCTTTTTATGATAATAACTGATTAAACCATTAGTCATTCTTTACAGTTTATCGTATATAAATTGGATAACCATTATGTATTAGTGTATCTATTAGTTTTTATTTTGCTGTCTATATCATAAAACCGACCACTATCTAATCCCAATCCCTGTCCCTTCCTATTTTACTTAATAGTCCCGGAATTTTTCTCCTATATATTTTTTTTGCAATTTTTGACAATTCTTTATTTCAAACTGGGAACAAGTTTCAGTCTCTACATATCGGAATAGCTTCTTACAGAAAAAAATAAACAAACAAAAACTAAATGTTAATTAAACAGCTTATTTACGATCTATTTTAAATCAATTAACAAAAAACTGGAAGCCTTTGGTAGAATTTAATTAGTGCAACCAATGATATTATTAAACAATTAACTAATTTGATAGGTGTGTTTTATAGTACGTAAAAAGGTAGCTTCGTTTCGTGCTTACAAAATCAAATATTGCATGAGGAAAACGAACAAAATGTACCACATTTTGGTCCATTTTAGACAGGATACACCAAACTATATCTGTATGGTCATATACTCCTCATAGAACACCTGATAATAAATTATCAGACTTGAATAATTTAGGTAAATATTATATCAAACGATTTATTAAAAGTGACATTTACGAAGAAAATCAGGGAAATAGACAAATGCAGAATAATAAAAATAGGCTGTAGTTGACCCTTCAGTTGACCCTAATGATACAATCGTACAAAACACTCTATATTTGACCGACGGACCAATGTTTCCTATATCAATTAATAGAGGACATAGGGTCGGTTTAATTGGTAAGTGTAATAAAATATCAATTGTCAAGCATTTTTCTTTAAATATATAAAATGTATACAGGTGTATGTTGAAT